TTCTCTGCTTACTAATTGATCACAAGCTTATGTTAAAACAAAGTAAGAGTCTGTCACAATATATATTTGTGGAAAAAAGAAGGACAAACAGTTCTAATAAAAGAATATTATACCCCATCAGGGTAAACCAAAGGATTGTTTTAAGAGTGATTTTGAAACATTACTTCCCAGAAATTTAAATATTATAACTATGTGTGCAATATCACTAGATTTTCTTTCTGGGAAATGTAGAGCAAGACGACATAATGTGATATGATCTTGACAATTGGTAGCTTATCTAAAGCCCCGAAACAAGAGTCCACTTTCCAAAAGAGGGGGTTTTTTTTTAAATCTAATTTTGCATGTGTAAGCTATTTCTTAATATTGCCTCCAGTGCAAATCAGTGATATAATTTTCCTCCCTCTTACTTGCCCAAAATGAATCATCTACTCTATTTTTACAGAGTATAAACCATTATGTTAATATCAGAGGACATGCATTTCTATCAGTTTGTGTGATCCCTTGTTAGGACTGGGTCACTGCAGGATACTGTCTATTCAAAAGGCCACAAAGATCTGGCATGACATTTAGATCCTCTCACATTATCTACTGTCTTGAGATTTTAGCTCTTTATTCCTGCCAAGTGAGTCCCCTCTCACATGACTGGAAATTAATTATTTATGCAACTGTCACAACATGATGATGTCATGTTATCTGATGCCAGCAAGCCAAGGGAAGCAACAATCCAATGATAGGTCTTAGTCCCATCTCAATACAACTCAGAATGGTTAGTATTACATCACCACAGGCATCCTTGGAAGGCCAACTATTCCTAGCTGTGGATGGATACAATGAGCAATAGGCCATTTAGAAAATCCATTGCGTGTATGATTCAAACCAACCAAATGATGTTTTTATTCATTTATTCCATCCTCCAGGAAATAAAGCCCGACTGCTCACTGGAGGGAAAGATACTAGAGACAAAGTTGAAGTACTTTGGCCACATCATGAGGAGACAGGAAAGCCTAGAGAAGACAGTTATGCTGGGGAAAGTGGAAGGCAAAAGGAAGAGGGGCCGACCAAGGGCAAGATGGATGGATGGCATCCTTGAAGTGACTGGACTGACCTTGAGGGAGCTGGGGGTGGTAACGGCTGACAGGGAGCTCTGGCGTGGGCTGGTCCATGAGGTCACGAAGAGTCGGAGACGACTGAACGAATGAACAACAATTCCACCTCCTGCTTCAGAGGTCAACAAAGGACACAAATAAAACACTTGTGATGGAATATTTTGTATTCAAATTGCTTCTTAATTCTTAGAATAAATGCATTGCCATGAACATCAAGAAAGCTTTTGTGTAATAAACCAATGTGTTTCTCAAGTAAGTCTGAATGACAGTTGAGAGAGGGCTGTTAACAGCTTTCTATTGGTTTGGAGTATCATTTCACTATAGGACAACAAATTCACACTGATATAGGAACTGCAAGGATGCCTAAAATATCCAATACACTTTCTGCTCAAGATGGCACAAGTTGAAGTAGAAAACTGGAAAAGGAAACAGTTTGCATGTCAGGACACTATCATGCATGGTGACATCTGTCTTCATTCATCCTATTACAATAGAGGCACCAAATATGTAATACACCAAAGCAACAAAGGGAAGAAAAACTAATTATCTAAATGTGGAAATTTAAAATTACCATGGAGTAAGTCCAGTCATTACTACATTTCTTCTAAGCCACCAAAATGACATAAGTTGACTTGAATTTCATATAGCAATATCTCTAATACTGTTTATTATGTACGTACTACAACTGACTTTCTGGAATTACCAGTGTCTATTTCTAACTATTTTGTTGGTTTTGTTTCATTCAAGGCTCTCCCAGTTTCACCTACTTTCCTGTTAGATTTGGCTGATTAGCAGTCTTTTCTTCTAACATACATCAGATTCACTTTCTTTGCCCATTTCCATTTTTTTTAATTCCTGTACATATTCAACCGATATAAAAATGGTGCAATTTAACCAAATGAAACATCAAAGTAAAACACTCCAAATACATGCAGGAGGGTACAGATACATACCAGCACTGCTAAGTACAAACTTTGGTTTCACATCAAACCTGTCCAGTAATGAATACCCTGGGAACAGTAAACTGAAGGAAAAACCTATTTGTGGAACAAAATTGGTGTACTTATCAGTTCTTTCTAATCAGCAAAAAGCTACATTAAGTCTCTGGAATCTTTTCTTTTTTTCTATAGTCTTCTCCAAACTATATCTATAGAATACTCACTGTAGGAAAGTGTATATGTTACCATGGAGAAACAGTATCCTGTAAACCAGAAATGGGAAAATCTGACTGTTTATAGAGATTTTTGGTCTACAATTTTCATTGGTTCTAGCTATGTAGTAAGATGTAATGGATTATGGGAACTGCAATCCAAAAGAATCTGATGGCTGCAATTGATATACATGGGTTTTCAATGAGACCAGAACTGAGCTAAGAACTGAGCCTAGAACCGAGAGAACAAAAAACGCACATAAAATGTTTCTCTTGTTATGGAACATGAAATCAAAGGTGCTTTGGGGAAAGCCGTGAGAAAAAAAGAGAGACTGCCACATACTACTTGAAAGGAGAGAACCCTTAACCGATGAGTTCATGAGGACACTTTCTTGAAACCGAAGGAAAGACTCATAGGTCAATGCAACCTCGAAGGAAAGGACAGCAAGCTTGAATCAAAAGTGAGAGTCAGACAATGCCATTTTAAATGACTACTCAAAAATTACAAGGAAATGACCATTAAAAATCCCTAGAAAAGAAGAGGCTGGTGTTTTATTGGCAGTCTCTAGAGCCCTACATGGAAGTCAACCGCTAAAAAATCACCAAAAGATGCTTTAGTAAGCAGCCATCTCTTTGAATAATAATAATCTCCAAAATGTCAGGTAAGATTAAATAAAGCATAATACCATAAAAGGAGGCAGATAATGACTGATCGAAGGCAGACAAAGAAAAGAAACAAATAAGCAAATGAAAAAAGAAAGGAAGAAAGGAAAATCTCCATCAGTTAACAACAGATGCAGATTTCTAATCAAATCAGAACAATTATGGATGAATCCACGTATCCCCCTGTTTATGGCAAATGTTCATGTTTACAAAGTGAAAACACCCATTTGCAATGGAAAAAATTGCCACATATCACCATCCTTGTATGTATGTCCCTACAAGACGTCAAAGCCTATTAATAATGGCTCAAAGGGGGAAATTAAAGCTGACATCTTCGAAACAAAATGTTGCTCTAATTTACCATCACAGCAGTCTTCGACAGCTGCAGAACAATTAAGGATTTTTTAACCCTTCTAGTCCCAACCAGCTCACATCATTACTGCTAAAATGTGTTTGAGTAGCATCTCCGAAGAACAAGGCCTGGAAGAATTATACTCAACACTAGTCGGAAACAAGCTTATATCAACACATACAGACCTAATTCACACAATCATTTCAGAGAGGAGCAAGATTATCTTCCATCACATAACTTTTACATGGTAAAATAAATTTACATTTGTCTTTTGTTTCTAAAAGCAGCTTACAACAGCAAGTGTTACTAGAAAGAGAATAGATACAATCTATAAATAAAATAATCCATGAAAGTATTCCATGCATGTATATTGTCTCTCATTGATAGGGTTGCCCTACATCAACTAACAATAATGATGAAAATGCACGGAGAAGGCTTCAAAATAGCAATGTCCATAGCTTATGAAGAGAGCTCTTGCTATAAAGTCATTAGACCACTTTGTCCCAGAGGTAAATAATCTATATTATATTGATCACCAGGATAGTAGTGAATCCTGTCTTATTGTCAGAGACTGAAACAGATGAAGTTCTTATCTTGGCCAATAATACCTTCATGCCTTGGTGCTTTCAATTATTACCCCAGTCTTAGGAAAGATATAATTACGGGTGATTCAAAAGGGGTTAAAGTCTAGAAAGGCTGGCTCTGTAATACATAAGTTACTGCATGCACATCCACACAACAATGGCAAGTTTCAAGACTGGATAAGCTTATTTTATGGATTTATTTCATCATGTTTTCAAAAGACATGCATACTGCACTCCATACAGACATCGACCTCAAGGGAGCGCTTGTAAATGCAGTCTCAGAGGCACACACAATGCAACATTGCTGCTCTGCTATGATTAAAAGCAGGTGCTTGTTAGGGCAAGCTGCAGATGGATCCAGAGCTGATGCTATCTCTGTTCATGCCAGGATCACATCAGTTCAGGGTATGGGGAGGGAGACTAAGTAAGTGAAAGAGAGAGAGAAAATAAACAGATGTCTGTTCCTGTGCCTAAGAGCCATTTATTCAAGACAAAGCCATTGAAGGGTCAAGACCAAGCACTATTCTATAATGTTTCAAAACATGTAATATTATATTTTAAGTCTCCAAAATAGTACAGCTTAAATGTGACCTGAAACATCAAATCCTAATGTAATAGCCTGTATTTAAAAGGTTTTAAAAGTTGGCTATATTAAGACTCATAATAAAATAAACTACCCCACAAAAGGATATTAAAGGGAATTTCAAAGAAGTGTGTAATGGCAAAGCTATTGACTTGTTCAGCAGCAAAAGATAAAGCAATCTATCTTCATCATGTAAAAAACCATGTAAATCTAATTCCAATCTTAGCCCAGTAGACTCAGTGAAATATTTAGTCAGAACTAATGTTAAGTCCCACTGCTTTTGATGGGTCTATGCTAAGTATTTTAGGGCATCCGTTACCCCTCAGTCTGCCACAAGTCCAAAGGTAATTCATATTTTTCAAAATAATACCCCAACAAACTTTTTTTAAAAACTAGTTAAAAATCAGAGATGTTTTGAGGACGAAAGGCCTCCGAATATGGGAAGAATGACAGTGGGAATGAATCCCACTCCCCGGTACATGCAATTCAAAACTGGCTCTGACTGCCCTGAAAACTGTTTCTCAAGGGGAAGCACTAAAATGACACATCAACATTTGCTTACCTTTTTAAATAGGCGGATGACATCCTCACTGATCTGGGAAAGTCTGACAATGACATTGTTCATGAAGATGTCATTCAAAGTTGCATGGTCTCTGCTCTCTCTCCGTGTCTGTGTCAGTACCAGATACCAGCAGTTCACAGGTGAAAGTAAGTGCTGATCCTTCCTACAAATAGAAAGCAAGGCAATTTTAAATAAAAAATAAACATCTCAGAGTTCATGATTGTACTTTTCTTTCTATCGGTAATAATGAGTTGCAATGATTAAAATGTAGCTTTAGAAAGGAAGCCCTGTATTCCATAAATTCAGTCTCTAAAAATTCTATATTTTCTGTTTTAGTTCTTTGCAAGTCACAAGCCAATATGATTCAATGTTTCACAGTTGATTAAAAAGAGATCCGAGATAAAAAAATAAACTAACTTAACATTTAAGGAGTAAGCAACAGTTCCATTTTTGACATCAGCAGCCAAATGTTTACTTGAAATTAAAACCCATTTCATACAGTATAATTCACTCTCATATTTGCATAGCTCTTAGAACTAAAGCAAAGTTGGTAAGCATGGAGCCCTCCAGATGGTGCTTGACTTCAGCTGTCATCAGATCTATCCAACAAAGTCAAGGGTATGCAATATGCATTGTATAGGAATGGGACTTGCAATCCAAAAATAACACCTAGATTTCCCATTCCTTGAAAAGGAGGCTTACTAAGATAGTAAGCAAAACAATGGGTAGAAATATTCCCATCATAAGATGTTCAAGCATATTTGAAAACAGTAATATTCACTACAAAATATACGTACTGTGCCATATAGTCCAGAAAGTACACCAGTATTTTAAATCTCTTCATTTTATCAATTAGTACGAACTATTACTATTATAATACCATATTTGAATGCAAGTACCCAAAGTTGACTATATTCTAGTTGAGAAGGAAGGAAAACTCAGTCTTTAATCTAAACACAATACCGTACACACAGCAAAGCAACATGTGCAGAAAAAACATATACTTCAATAATTCAGTCATTAGGGTTAACAGGACATTATAAACCTTCCACTTTTTTGGCATTTATATTCACACATCCATATGCATGAATGTGTGCATTTCTGTGTGCACATCTGCAGGCAAAAACCTCCTCTGGCACATGTTTTAATATACACATTTTAAGTTCTTTGTTTTTCCTTAACAGATCAATTTTTATTCTACACTACTTCAAGTGCACAAAGCCAAATTAGTATAGTGCTTTGAGTGCAAGACAACAAGTTTGGGAGACTAGAATTTGAATGGGCACTCAACCATGAAAACTCACTGAGTGACCTCAGGCAAGTCATGTGCACTCAACCCCCCCCCCCCCCAAAGGCAATAGCAAACCCACTTTGAACAAATCTTGTCAAGAAAACCCTGTGATAGGCTCACTTTAGGATTGCTTTAAGTTGAAAATTATTGAAGGCACATAACTATGACATTTTCAAGAATATGCATTTTACAATGTATATGTACACTTGAAAATTTAAAGCAGACAATATGCATTACAAACTTTGTAATGCAGAAAACGTAACACAGACAATCTATATTACAAATTTTGGAAATGTACAGATTTCAACAGCAAGTGATATCTTCATTCATCTTTAGTACCGGAAAATGAAAACTGGTAATCATGAAATCACTGAGTTGGATGAAACCTCAAAGGTCACTGAATTCAATCCCCTGCTGTGTGCAGGATCAACTGCAAAAGCTTCTGCAGCAAGCAGCCGAGCACTCTCTTTTTAAGATACCCGAAGAAGGAGATCCTATCACCTCTCTAGGCAACTGATTCCACTTCTAAACTGCTTTTACCATCAAGAGGTTCCTTCTAATGTTCAACAAAAATCTACTCCTGTAACCTAAAACCATTAGACTTTGTCCTATCTTCTGGCCAGCAGAGAACAGGCTTGTCTTTCTCCTCCTCATGACAGCCCTTGAGATACTTAAAGAGTATTGTTCTGCCCCTTCTCAGTCTTTTCCTTACCAAAATGAAAATGCCAGCTTCTTCAAACTTTCCTGGTATGTTTTGCATTCCAAACATCTTATCATCCTAAATGATCTTCTCCAAACCTGCTCCAACTTGTCTATATCCTTCTTAAAACAGGGAACCTTAAACTGGAGGAAAATATCAGGCTACAAGAACTGTAATTCTTTCCGCAGCACTCACTTCTGCATACAGTGATATTGTCCCTTCCTAGCATCAAGACGCATAGCCATACATTACAGCCCTGCATCAATTTGACATGTTCACAGTTATCTGTACCACAGCAAACTAAAGATACAAATTATTTCAATAGCCCTGATGTGGTAAAACATTCACCAATTTCACTGATATACATCTCCAATACAAGCCCCCGGTGACACAATGGGTTAAACCTTTGTGCTGGCAGGTCTGCTGACCAATAGGTTAGTGGTTCGAATCTGGGGAGAGCTGGTTGAGCTCCCTCTGTCAGCTCCAGCTCCCCATACAGGGACATGAGAGAAGCCTCCCACAAGGATGGTAAAACATCAAACATCCAGGTGTCCCCTGGGCAACATCCTTGCAGATGGCCAATTCTCTCACAGCAGAAGCAACTTGCAGTTTCTCAAGTCAGTCCTGAGACAAAAAAGAATCTCCAATACAAAGAGAAGAGAATTACAAATGTTTAAAGCATATGGCTCTTTCATTGCTTGTTAACTTGACATCATTAAATTTATCAAGAGGATCTCTGGTTAGGAGAAGCTGGTAGTCATCTGCATTCTTTCTATAACTATACATACTCCAACCTCTTGCCTTAGCTTGGCAAAAGTATAAGTTGGCTAATTGTTGAAAGCAACAAATTTCTGAAATTACATTTATGGATTTCATAGAGCTTTAAACCAAACCATTGTGAATAATGAAAATGTAATGTTTCTAAGAAACTCCCTAAAACCATTACAGCATATTTTCCAATGCACTAACTGTTCTTAAAATGTGTTCAAAATGCAAAAGGTTGCAAATTCTCATGGAGCTCTCACACAAGAAGATCTCAAAGCACTTATTACATCTTCCAGAGGCTCCAAAAATGTGTCAAGTACATTTTACAGAAAATCAAAACACAAGGAACTTCAGGAACCTATCCAGTAAATTTTTGCTATGAGCCATAGTTCTTCCAAATTGCAACAGGAAAAGAAACCCTCTTAAGCTAACCACTAAAATACAGGTGTGGGGAATGCACACTCCAGATGTTAAGATTGCAAACCCTATCAACCCTAATCAGCACATTCCTGAAGTAACCCCAAGAGGGTTAAAGCGACAGATGTTATCTTTCATACAAAATTCATAATGCAGATAAAATGGACACGAAATTTGGCTATACTGGCCCTATTTCATATCATACTTTGGTGCAAACTGATTGCGTTCTGCTTGAACTCACTCATTAGATGTGGCAGCAAAATCAATGGCACAACTCCTAGCTGGCCTCACAGCTCAGAAACACTGTTTTCTAGGCAGAGAACTCAAAGTGACTTGTGGAGGGTTCATTGCTGTTTCACTTCTTTATTGACAGCCCATGTAGCCTCACCTCCTTTACAAAGTATTTCAAGGACTTTGATGCCAACTTCATTTCTATACAGAGACACATAAGTTAATGTCACTCTGCAAACTTTTTGCAAAGCTATCCAGTAAAAGAACCATCATATTGAATCCAAGTCACTGTTGCAGAGGAAAGGACGATAGAGTTAGACAGGGTGCTGCTAAAGATTATTAATGTGTAAAGCAAATAAATGGTTCAGTTTTGCTAAGTTCAATTTCCATTTTCCCTTTGAAATCATAATGTTCAATAATATATTACTGCTATTTAAAATTGATGAACCACTTTATAAGCAGCAACAGAGTTTCTTTGCTCTTAGAGGCCGCCAGAAATAGTTTCACAAATTCACTACCATATAGAAGTTTTCCACATTTGACTGGCTGAGTAACAGCAGATTATAAAGAGCCAGCCTGCATAATGCTACAAAAGAAAACAAACTTCCAACCCAAACAGCATGTCACAGGAAGCAGACAATATTCAATGAACTAGAAAATGAAACCCATTTGCTTTAAGACACTGATTTTCATTGACCTACAAGATGTTCAAGATGTCAGCTCAAGTACGAACTGAATTCCTCCTTGAGCCATGAATATTCATAGCATGTTTAAAGGAAAAGTCATTGAAATATTAATTCTCACTTAGTTTCCTGGCAGTGCCGAGACGTCTTCTATACAATTGGCCTATGCAATGCTCATATAAAGTGGTAATCATGCAAGCTTCCACATATTGTTGGACTGAAACAACCAACAGCCTTAGCAATCACAGCCAATGAAAATGAATTCTGGGAAGTGCAGACCAACAACGTCTGAAGGACTCCATGCTTCCTACTACCTAGTAGTAGATAACAAGGGTGAAGATCAGAAAAGAACATAGAAGCACTTGTCCAAACGTATCTCCCTTTATGAGCCAACTAGAGCTTTAAGATTTGCTGGGGAGGCCCTGTTCTCAGTCCCACCTCCTTCACAAGTGCGACTGGTGGGGACAAGAGACAGGGCCTTCTCACTGGTGGCCCTTCGACTGTGGAACTCCCTTCCCAGTGACATCAGACTGGCTCATCCCTCCTGGCTTTGTACACAGGTGTTTGGGGAGTAGGGTAATACGGAATTCAAAGTGAGAAAGGCGGGGTATAAATATAGTAAACAAATAAATAATAAATATTGAGTTATACTCTCAATTACTTTATCTTAGTTCGTTGTTTAGATTAACTAATAATGTTCATTTGTTTTTAGTATGTTGCAAGTTAACTTGAAAGTTGAACATATTTCAAATACTGTAGTTAAAAGTGCCTGGAACCCAGTGAAGTGCCCCAGTGTCTTCACTAACCAGAATTCCTTACTCTGTTTTCCACTCTTATGGGTTTCTCTTTCACTGTTTGGAGTGTGTTAAGATGAAAGGTAAGCATGACATAAAATATCCATCCAAAATTTTCCAACACCTGAAGTGCAACACTACACAGCATAAAGGAAGAGGCCATTTTGCTAACAAAGGCTATTGTGTCCATTTCAAAGGCAATGTCTCTTGAAGCATTAGTAGATTCCAGGCTTCTTTGTCTGGCAAGAGTGATGAAGGGCCAACAGATTGCAAAAGAATATA